CAGTACTCGGGAGGCGGAGGCAGGAGGATCACTGTGAGTTCGAGACCAATCCAGGCTACGCGGTGAGTTCCAGGCCAATCTCAACTGCACAGTGAGACCCTGTCTCAAAAAAAGACACACATGAAAGAAAGCTCAGAGGACTGCACTGAATCAGAAAGTGGTAAGAACAATTTAGCAAGTGTGTTTGAAGTGAAGGAGAGAATTTTGAAGGGGGAAAAATGCCGAGTAATATCTTTGACTGTAATAAATCTTGCTAAATTTTCATATTCACTATAGTTCTTATCACTTCTTGTATAGCATTCAGCTTCATGAAGTAGGAATGTCTGAGATCTATTTTGTGATTCTGTATTTCAACAATAAAGATATGATTAAAAAAAGATATGATTCTTAGGGAAATCACTTTGGATACTTGGCCATTCCCTTTTTAAAACATTTTGAGCCTTTAGCGATTTGCTTAAATGTTTTTAAAAGCCTTCAACGGAAGCAAAGCAGCACTGAGTTTATATCATTTTTTTCTCTTTATGAATTATAAGCCATCAGACATAGATCATACAGCATGATAGTCATGGGGAACTCAGCACAAACCTAGCAGAGAATACAGTTTTAAACATTTCCACTGCCAAAATCTTGAGTAAGGCTCTGTTTAATTATTAGTGCTACAAAAAGTAGGTAATATTTACCTGGCCACCACAGTGCTGCATAAAAGTCACTTATCTTTCCAGCCATGTGCCACATTTCCCACCACTACTGAAAAGAACAAGCAGAAATCTTAATTTCCTCCTCTCTAAAATCCACCATCACACATAACTGGGCAGGGCAGAGGGTCATTAAGAAGCTGGTTAAAAAGATGAGTACCAGCCCTAGCCCAGGTCCTTTATAAAACCGGAGACAATAACATTTCTAGTGAAGGGTACAAGCAAAACTGCACCATTAAGCAACGACTTGGCATGGACAGACTGGCTCAGCATTTCTAAGCCTTCTGGACAATCTCACCAGTACCGGTGCGATCTATCCATTTGAGTGACGAGTGATATTCAGGTGCTGGTTCTTAGCCTAGATTACAAACGTACTTAAAGGGACTTTCTGGCATGTTCATGTAAGATGTTCACCATAGATCCAATCTGGCGAGAGTCTCAGCTCCTAGCACCTAAGTCACAATGCCTTGGAAGCTTGTATTCGAGAAGTTACAGCGACTGTAACTCATTAACTGAACCTTAACATTATCATGCAATATGGGTTCAGATGACATTGTTGAATACCTTTTGGATTTTGGCAAAGATGCCTTGGAGTCATTAGTTATCTGTCAATCATTTACAAATCTCTTCTGCAATCAGTTAGCAAATAGTGTTTTATCATTATAAACGTGTATTCTTGTACATATGAGTCACTAGGAGCGTTCTCCATGGTGGTACCTCATGGGTTCCATGGGCTAGGGAAGGAGTTTAAACCAGGATGCTGCCATGGAAAATGCTTGCACCTGCCAAAAGGAAGTGATCAAAACACACCTTGAGAGAGAAAATGAATTAGTGGACCTACATGGCATAATTTGCTTTCTGTGGCTGGGAGCTAAGTAACTTGTTCACTGTGGCCGAGGCTTGAGTCCCAAACACCTGTTATTTGAACCACATGTGAATGTTACTCTCATCTCTCTTTCAGAAAAACATGTTCCTTTCTCACAACCACTGACTACTCACTTCTATTAAATTAGCCTGGGTAGATAAGCTTCAAAAGAGCAAAGTAACTGATTAATATAATATTTCCTCAGCATACCAGTAAGGTTTAAAGGGAACTGAGTAAGAGACTGACAAACAACAAAGCATATTTTTTAAAGGTTCTGGCAGGAGTTATTGGGCAACCTAGGAGGGAGTTTGTTCCTCGACTATTTTTCTTTTTTTGTACATTTCCCAAAATAACTGCAGCTAATCAGAGGCAGATAACATAGCATTAATTCCAACATTTGTGCTATTACGTGTTTTGTTAACATATACAAAAGAAACGGAAGCAAGCAAATCCCTTTCTGATGCCACTAAGTTTCATGAATCTAAGGTACTTCTTTAGGGTACAGTTGTACCTGAGACTCAGACAGGGCTGGGATCCTACTCACACATGGCATCTGCCTTCTGAAATCCCGTTCAGAAGGCTGTGTCCCTTGCATAGATCTGAAGTCACACAGAAATACTAGATATTTTTCCTTTTTTTTTTTTTCAGTGCTGGAAACTGAACCCAGGGCTCTGCACATGCTAGGCAACTATTACATCCCCTGCCATAAACGATTGCTTTTGATGACTTCTACATGGGTAGTGGATACTACGTGCTCATATGGATAGATATGTACAGATTTATAGATATCTGTTGGTGTAGAGATATATAAACCTATACAAGAGTTACATAACCACATCTACGCAGATTATTTCTTACCAAAAGAAGCTACACACATACAAACCCATTTGTTTCATTTAAAAGAGGTATCAATATTAATATTATTCAAGAGTCCATTATTTTTATTTATAAAACACTCAAGGTTTAACGAGGCCAGGCACCCTCTACCCCAAGCAGGAGACAGACCAAGGAACAGCTCGCGAGCTTGCCAGGCCCTTGGCTGCCCTCCTACCTGCTGCGTCTTCTCGCCGTGCTTTTCACTTCACGTTCTCACGCTCCATCACGACCACACAGCCCAGTCTGCAGTCTGCACAGTTTCTCGTGGAACGAAATGAGCGCCTCAGCCACCACGCTGGGAGGATCTGACAGCCAATGCTCGTCTCTGAACTCAATGAAGCCCTGACAAATGCTCACTTGGCACTTGGGCGTGTATCAAAGACTACATATTCCAAAGTAGTAACATATATAAAATATGCTCAGAGAGATATAAGTCCCTTTGTCATTTCCATCTCAAATTAGAAAATTAGGCTCAATAGAAATGGCATTTTTCAAGACAGGGTTTCACTGTGTAGTTCAGGCTGACCACAGACTCACTATGTAGCCCAGCATGGCCTCGAACTCCCGGCGATCCTCCTGCCTCAGCCTCCCGAGTACTGGCATTACAGGCATGCACCACCACACCTGGCAAAAATGGTATTTTGAAACCCACTATATATTTAAAAGAAAACCCATCTAAGTAAATAATACCCAATGTAGCCTTAATGCAAAGTCGATTGCATTGGTTGTGTGTACACAAGAGCATACGGCTCAAGGGGAAAATCAGCATGTTTATTACCCAGCTCTGCCAACAGCCAGGATTACCAGTTATCTTAGTTGGTGAAAAGCAGCATCGATTTTTCTTCTTTAAGTATTGGAGATTGAACCTAGGGTCTTTGCATTGAGTTACATCCCCAATCCTTTAAAATAAAATTACTTTGAGACAGCACCGAGGTGAGTTTGTGTGCAAGTGGGGTTCAGAGCTAGCAGCCCAGCCCAAAGGTGCACAGGTGAGAGGGCTGCAGGGTGCTTGTCTCCCCTCCAGCTGGTCTGTCCACACAGAGCTTTAGTGTTCAGACACAACGCTCCACCTTTCAACTGAAGTAGAACGAGGCAAGAGGGGAAACAAAAACGTGACAGTCATCAGCGCTAAAAACAAAAGAAAAAGGATCACAAATTCCATGATTTAAAATTTTGGGCAATCTATTCTATGTATGGCGTGTGAAATTTTGTTAGAATAAATATCTGTAGATGGAGTTAACAATGATCTACACACATACAAACCCATTTGTTTAATTTAAAAGAGGTGTCAATATTAATATTATTCAAGCCAGGCATGGTGGAGCATGCCTGGAATCCCAGCACTCGGGAGGCCGAGGCAGGAGGATTGATGTGAGTTTGAGACCAGCCTGGGGTTCATAGTGAGTTCCAGGTCAGTCTCAACTACATAGTGAAACCCTGTCTCAAAAGAAAAAAACATACATATATATATATATAGTTCAAAACTGTTGGACACTGTGGTGCATGCCTGTAATCCCAGCACTTGGGGAGACTGAGGCAGAAAGATTAGCAGGAGTTTGAGGCCAGCCTGAAAAGCATAATGAAACCCCATCTTAAAAAAACGAAAAAAAATTTAAAAAGAAAAAAGGGCCCAATGGTAAAGCACTCCTGGGTTCAATGCCCAGCACTACTCCCAAAAGCATACTGTCACACAGTGTGGAAAAAGACATGCATTACTCTAAGAATCCAGATTTTATTACTTGGAAGGACAGTAAAAATATTCACCAAGAACTCGAAATTTCTTCAATTGTATGTGTAACAATTCTTTGTGGATCTAAGCAAAGAAGAATAACAAAAATTATGGAAAATGCCCAGCACATTCATCATTTTGCCAGCATTAATATCAAAGCATAAGTTTCACTTTATTAGGAAAAAGAAAGTAAATAATCAGTGCACAAACAAGCTAAGGATAATTCCTCATCTAAGGAGGAGGCACGGTTTTAGAAAGTCAGCTGAGGCCTGGTTGAGGCCTCGTGTGGTGGCACGTGCCTGTAATTCCAGCCATTTGGGAGACCAAAGCAGGAGGATCACAAGTTTGAGTCCCATCTGGGCAACATAGTGAGACTCTATTTTAAGATTAAAAAAAAAAAAACTCAGTTACCCAAACATGAATAAATAAATAGCCATGAGGTTGTAGTGTTTCATACCCTGGATCGTATTTGTGGCCATCAATTAAAGGATTAGTATCAGCCGATGTTATCATCAAAAACGTATTCACAGGGGGTCTAAGAGCTGTCTGTCCTTCTCCCTGAAAGAAGCAATGACATCAGGAGGGTATGTCACAATCCACAGTTTAGTTAGAGGCTTTAACCTGGTTTGGAGTTTTATTCCCTCAGCATGATCTTCTGACCCCTCAGTTTTACAACTCTCCACTCTGGGCGCTGCATAGCACCTCTCCTCTTTTGAGTTAATCATTTCTTGGCCATTATCTGCCAAGAGTTCTTATCTCCTCTGCTGTCACTTTATAACAGGGACCTCTTATCAACCTGCACAGGGTCATGTGACCAGTCAAAGCCTATCGCACGTTTCCATTCCTGTGATTAGAAACCATCATGAAACTGGTTACATGGTTTACAGCGGGTCACCAATGCTGGAGAGGGTACAGAGTCCAGGGAAAGACTTGCTCGTAACTTTCTGAATTCTGAATTTTTTTTAACTTTTTCTTAACTTTCACTAAGGCAATACGGGTTACTGTAGTCTGTGTTTGCTCCCCAAGGTCACAAAATATGACAAGCTGCTCTTTTTCTCATGCTCAATGATTTCTGCCTTAAGCCAAAGGACTGCCTATAATCTTACTAAGAATGTCTTCTAATTCCGATACTGGGGATATACGAGAATCTCTAAAGCACGGACTTACACCTATTGGTAAGTAGGAAGTTGCTCTATTTATCAACTAGTTATTATTCTGCTACAATATATGTGTAATTTAATCTCATGGATGGGTTTTGTATTTTAAGTACTACTTTTCCTACATAACAAACCCACACATGTGTCACACATTTATATGTCTTACAGTTCAAAAACAGTAAATGGGTATTTCAACATATATTATTCATTAAATCCAGTGTTTCTCATAATCTAGCAATCGCAGCCTTAACATTTCCCCGCAGTTTTTAATCAAGCATAAAAATCTAAGAGTTGAACAACTTGAAACAAGTTGATTGCACTGACCATCGGTCAAACTACCTTAGAAGAGGGTTTTTCAGTTGCAAAATTTCAAATAACATGACACCATGGTGTCTCATTCACTGTGGAAACCTGTAGAAAAAAAATTTACTCTTCTAATAAGTGAAAGTCAGGCAAGAAAAAAAAACTCAGACTATGATTAGAAGATTAGAAGAGTTACCATCTTTCCAATAATAAGCATGTCTTGTTTTCAGACACAAAATTAAGTACATAAAGTTTCTTCTTCTCTCCCTGTTTCTTCCTTTTTAAAAACTTTTTATTTTAATGTTAAAGGCCTCGCTGGGTATGGAACCCTCAGCCTGGAACAAGTGCCGTTCTAATGAGCTACGCCCTTAGCTTCAGAAACCACTTTTACATTTTTAAAAGGGCAGGGTTACAAACTTCGTTTTACCGCAAGACTAAGTTCAATTAATCCTAAAAGCGGGAGAGCTTCCCAGTGGCCTGTGGTGTCTGCTGGACATCGTGCCCTGCTTTCCTCTAGTTTTGAGCCTCTAAGCCCCGCCTGAGTCTCCCTCCCTGATCCCCGAACCCCAGGGGCCTGGAGCTCAGAGTTCCGACTGGCTCGGAACCAGAAGGAAAATCACGATGGTTTCCCCTTGTTCCCAGGTAGCCAACTGAATGCCGTGATTGCTTTTTTTTAATGGGCTAACTACACCCTAAAGTATATCAATAGAGGAAATGTGTACTAAAAAAAAGTTCTGTGCTTATGACAAAGAAAACACTGGAAAGGCATGCAGAGTGCAACACAGAACCCATTGCTCTGCGGGTAACAGCCGAAACACAGGTGCAAGAAGGGAGCCAGGAAAGACGCACGCAGAGGACTTCAGAGCTTTCTGGGCGCGCGCCGGGCAGCGTCCTCGCCGGCTGCGACTGAGCTCGGACCGGATCCCGCCGGCG